GATAAAAGTATATATTATGTAATAGAAGGACCTAAATTTAACTTGTGCAATTTTTGTATAACACTTTTAAATTATTGTCACTGATATTCCTAGAAAAGTTGATGCCGTGAAATTAATGATTTCAAGCGGTATCGAATAGTGGCCAATTTGTATGTATATTCAAAGAATCTCTGTATTTTATAACGTATTCAGAACTCAGTGGGGAGTCATCATTTTAGAAAATTAATATAACCATTGTTGCTTTATAGCGTTCAGGAAATAATCATTATATAATCTACAAATAGCTATCATTCATGAAACCGTTCATGTCAGGTGAGGACAGTCGATGACCAGTGGGCTTAGATAGCAGTGGCGCCACATAACCAAGTGATAGTGGTATAAAAGCTTTTATCCGCTGAGTCGTAAACTGGTGGCTGACCAGTAACGTATTAGTCTGTTTAGAACGATGTATGGATTCAGTTTCTAGTTGAATGGGCAGTGTGAAGTTTCAAAAAGACCTCAAACTAGAATAAAACAACTGTCAAGAACTCCTTAATTTTTGATGACTCATAAACTTCTCGTCACTCTCATAGAATAGGCTTATTTTGGTCAAATAGGCATAAAACAAAACGAAGTAAATGGTGATTATTGAACTGTTTAATTGGCTACTTTCACAATTTCACCCTTTTTTTCTTGTGAGCCAGAAAAGCCAACTAAATCCTACTCGGCTGGGACTTGCACAAAAATCATACATAGGTGATATTGATGGCAACGTTAATTCCATGAGACAACCAGACAGCAAATCTGTCTTGATAGCACTATGTCTTTAGTTGATATTTCGGTGTTTAGCATGAAAAATAGAGATGAACTAAGCAGTATTTGACTGTTGAAATTATATTGTCTCCTTCATTTCTGGAGTATATCTGGCTGTCTTAACCTACAATATGCCGGCCTAGAAGTGATGTTGTTGAGTTACAAATGAAAAAGCCTGAAAAACACTAGTTGACTTGACCGAGTTACCTAAATTAAATTTACGTGTTTCAATGATTAAAAAGTAAAAATTCACACTGATTGCAAGATATGATAATCAAATTAATGATAACATAATTAATGAGTGATTTTCAACAGCATTTAGTTCATGGCAAAATGAAGTTAGTGAATATACAAAAGATACATGATATTTTAGGTGTGATTTAAACTTCATTTGAAAACTAGAACTGAAAATATTGATGTCTACTTTAGCAACTTAATTAGACACATTACTTAATATAATTTTAATAAGTCACGTTTCAAACAGCCGAAAACAATTTCGTAGAATAATTAAACCACGGTTAGACTAATGCTGGATACAATTATGCTATAAGTGGCGACTAGCGTTATCATAAAAGACTGTAGTTTGTTTTTTGTTTAAGACGCATCATTCGTGTGTCTTCTTAATTTTTACTGAGATTTAAACTTAACATATTTACTTTTAGATACCAAAGTCTTTTCCATTAGACTAGTGAGCTAAAAAAGCCTAGTACTTAGCAATGAGTACATTTGATAATACCAGTAAACTGTAGCTCATATTTCCAGTCATAAACTGAAAGGTGAAGCGTCTAGGATGACCACCTCATCCTACATCTTCCAATTCAACTGCCCCTATAGAGCCAGTTTATCGGTAGTTGCTCTAGGAACTTGATTTTTCGTGCTCAGAAACGCCTACCCGTTAACTTAAATAAAGGAGTAGTACATACCTCCAACGGTTCAGTGTCAAAGCGCCTCGTCTAAGTAGGTGATAAAGCCGGTATCGCAGAATTTTTTGGTATCATTTATCGTCAGCCGAATAAAGTTTTAGGTGCGTCGATAGTTCAGCGGTAGAACATCCAATGACCACGCATGCGGTCCGGGGTCCACTCCCCAAATGATGCACTGCTAAGCCTCGTTAAGCTGCTAGTAGAGTCGGTAAAGAGGGAATATTGGGCCTGGGCTAGTAATCCTATCCCGTAAAAGTAAAACCAATACTACAAAAACTTCAAAACCCAGGCTTGAAGCTTCATGTTCCACTTGGAACGTAAAGGAATAATTTTTATTCATTTATTTTTTTAATTACAGCTTGATGCCACACTGTATTTTCAGTACAAGTATGGCATTTTCAGCCCAAATTTTGCAGGCCGACCATAGATATCGGGTGTGCGTCGGCAGGGGATCGAACACCGGACCATGTGCATGGTCGGCGAGAGTCCTAACCACTGTACCACCGACGCACACAGATAAATATCAATAAACTGTTGAAGGCCTCTCGATTCTGAATACTCCAGACAGTTGAAGCCATAGCAATTCGATAAAAAACCACCTGGAACTTTGCGTTCAGAAGAAATGAGTTCAACCAGTATTGTTACCCTGGTTTTAATGTATTTGATGTTCAGTTTAGTATTATATTTATACACATTATCACATAAACATATTTTGAAATGTAATCTACTGATGTTGTTGATGTTGTCAATAACAATTATTCTCTAACTATTCTAAATACATAGTAGTAGAATCTGATGAATAGGTAACTTAAATCACACAAAATCAAATTTTGTCTTTGTAGAAATATGATTAAAAGAATTTAAAACCTAAGAGCCGGTACACATCAATTTTGCTCACTTTATTATAAGGTTTTCCTCACCATGTATACACCGCCTTAAGACAAGGGATGTAGGAAGGTTGTTAGGCCTTGAGTCTTACTGTAGTACACGGTATTACACGATTATAAAACACCTATTCAGTGTCTCATGGTCTTCATCAATACCATATCTCATGTCGGTATTTTTACAGATGCTGTTCTGAAGTAATTAACTTGGATAAAAACCTCCAAAAGAAACTAAATCAGAGAGTCAACGACCTTAGCATTAAAAACTGTTGCATTTATCACTCATATTAACTAATGAAATATTTGGGTTGAATTATGAACTGTATTCATATCTCCCTAGTGTCAAATAGCTCTTTAACTTACATTAACTATCTATGAGTTCTATCCGAATATCTGTAAACTTTATCGATACAAAATTATGAACACGTTTAAAGACACTCTCTAAAAATAAATGGACAACTGAAATTGTGTTTATCAAGACAGTAATTTACACCGATACTTTAGGAATTATTCAGTTCATGTTCCTCATGTCTAGGAAATCCTCCAATCCATACAGAGAAATATGAGAACTAACTGGAACTGTGTGCATAATTTATCCAGGATAAAAACGTGTGAAATAAGTTTTGAAACTGAAGTTCCCTGACGAATGTTTCAGATGAATTATATGACAGATTCAATAAATAAGCCAAGATGAAAGTGTATTCTATTACGGTAATCAGAGACTAAGTGATACACTGCAGCTTGACTTCTTTTTAAAGAAAACTGTAGAGAATGCTTTGACAAACATAGCAGAAGGTTAAGTGCCATGAATTCCACTGATCAATACAAAAAAGTACTTCGAAACTCTTTAACATTTCTTGTCTTTATAATTCCTGCTGCTTATCAAATGCTTATCTAAAAGCACAAAGGGTTTGAGATGTCTGTCAAAATAAAGTCTCCAAGGAACAAATGGTGGCTCCAGTTAACTCAGGACACTTTAGAAAATCCGTTTCATTGTCAAAATACCAATAGGAATAACATGAATTAGGTCCCTACGTACTTAGTTAGTCACTGTCATCTTATCTTCTTTATAGAGTTCTGATTTTCACATCATATTAAGCGTACCTGGGACTTTTGAGAGCGCAAATAACTGAATCTGTTTCTATTTTCCTACAGTAAAATAGTGGAGTACAGTTCTTCAAAAATTATGGTTCAAGGAGTGATAAAGCAAGAAAATCAAATTGTTTATGCCATAGTGAACAGAGTGAAATGATTTTTTGTATGAAACATAATTTGGCTGAATGGATTAGTTTTCAAGAGTAAGGTTCTTCAAAACATGCCAAACAGCATTTCATATTGTATGTGAGGGAGGTGATGATTAATTTAAGAATAGTTCTCCTTATCTTGATGCTAACTACCATCTACAGAAAGTAGATTAGCCGACTGTCTCTGCAAAAGTCTTTACCCGATGGCGTCACTCATCTTCGAAGTGATGCGCTTTCGTGACTTAAGCAGGCAATAATTTCAATTTTACCGTGTTTTGAAGTTTCAGCAGCGATAGGGTTTTCTGTTACAGAGTGTGGCTGATGGCCAAACGCCAATCCTTCACTGTTTTCCGGGCATAGGATCATCTGGTAAACTACAGAAAATACTTAAAAACCAATGTCTCAGTGTTGCTTAGAGACTTGGCGCGCGCCACCAAAAGTATCTTCATAAAGCTAATAAATTATTTCATCAGCAGATGCCTGTGCTGTCTTGGTCCTAAAGATCAGATGGCTGACTTGTTAGAACTCTGGTAGAAAGAGAACTAGCCAAAAACATTTTATCCAAAAAACATTCAGTGGGAAATGGAGGTGGATTGTAAATACACTGAGAAGATATTCAGGTTACATGACACACCAACCCCTCTAACGGAATCCGAATGGCAGGCATAGAGGAAAACAACTGGAATGCAGATATCCTACTGAAGCCCTGTATTCCACTGTCAGTGAATAGTGATAGTTGCCTTTACTTCTCAGCATACTGTATCTTCACTCTTAGATGAATTCATATTTTGTTACCTTTGAACTAGTCGAGGACATTTCTGCCTTTGATACAGATTTAAACTAATAGTACTTGGTTGATTCAATCATACAGACCTCCGTTTACAAAACATAAGAGGGCACTGGTGCACAAATGTGTCAACAGATTTTCCAGCCGTGCTTCAGAATCACAAATATCGATCAAAAAGTGTTGGCAGTCAATTGTGGTGCGATATTTTTACACTTATGGGTACTAAAGACTGTATTTTCTCATAGCTCACAGAAATGCTCTAAAACAACTCTACTAATAATGTTAATTTAGGTAGGATTATTAAATTGGAAGTGAAAATGTTGAAAAGCTACAAAATAAAAAAAAACACAGAGGTAACACAGTGACTTACTTGATATTCATAATCATGTGTTTTCACTTTACGTCCACGTTTGGATGCACGAAAAGCTGCAGATGCTGCAAGAGCCGCTGATGCACGTCTTAATGCACTACTACCCCGACGTGGTGTTTTATCACTATCTAGTTTCTCCAGAGTTGACTTTGAAAGCATTTCTTCTGGTATTCGCCTTTCAACTCTAACAGTATGACATAAGGAAAGCAGAAGAAGTAATGTTTGCACACTGCTTACAGTAGGCGATTGACTGTCAGTTTCAGAGGCTGACTTTAACTGTACAGCTTCTGAAACGTCATCTAATTCTTCTTGTTCTTCTCGACTGATTGTATTTTTATCGAAGTTCAAATCGTTAATATGTGTACTTGGCGGTGTATCAGTATATCGAAATAAACCGCTATTTTCAAAATAGAAAACACCCATAGCTGTAGCCAGTCGACGAAATTGCATTGAATTCTCTGTTAGCGTCCCAGTTTTATCTGTGAATAAATATTCAACCTAAAAACAGACGTGAAATAATATATATAAAACGCTGAAGAAATAAGTACTCGTAAATAATATTAGCACTCTGCAGGAAACAAACAAGAAACAAAATATTCGAATTTCATCATGAACTGATATCAGTTACTGGACCATTGGAAAACCACCAAGGAGTACCAGAAGATGTTTTGTTCTAGTTTGGGACCATATTGTTTTGAAATGAGGACCTTTCGGTTATAAGGTGAGTACTAGCGATTGGTTCTATTCAGGTAGGTAGTTACCTGGGTTCTAGTGGGAAGTCGTAACCAGTGGGTTACGGCAGGTTGGGTGTGAGGAAAAATACTCACCACGGATGCCGCGGGCTAGTGCCATTCTTGCTATAACATGAAATTGCAGGAGCTGGAGTTCATAGGCTGCCGGATCGGGTGTCAATGGCTGAATGGCCTACAAGCTTGCCTTGTAATGAGGAGGTCCTGGGTTCGAATCACTGTAGTGAATCCCAAATTAGGATGAAACGGCTGTCCAGCACTCCTTGGTGGTCTTTAAATGCTCCTCTAACCGATGTCAGCTCATGAGGAAGTCCTGAAACCAATCAAATCCATACAAACCAGCACTTCAGAATATATGAAGATGGGCAGATACTTACTCTCTGAATGGTAAATAGAAATACGTCACTAGAAAAGGACTATTCAGATGCTATATCGTATCTACCAAATCAAATGCGAATACTCTATTCACTATTTCCCATAAGTAGTTTAGTTAGTTCTGAGTTAGATTCAGGTTTTAGAAATAGTAGACAGCTACTGTCATGTGAACATATACCTATGAAGTTTCTAAGTTGTGGAGTTACATGCGATACGATAATGAATAATAAATGTGCTGGAAATGTCACCCAGTAAGTCATACTGTTTTCCTGGGCGCTCTATAGGACAAACACTCATATATAGAATGATACATTACCAATTTATATATATATATTTAAACATTAGTGCGCTAATCTACTTGACATATCAACGAATGTTCCTTCTAATTAAATAAATGAAGCAAAATGTTTGCTTAATTTCTCTGCAACCCTGACGAAGAACTGTTACCCGACTGTTTCATCAGTTGAAAATATTACACCAGTGATTATCTTTTCGAAATAATGGAGAATATTAGTAGCTCAGGTGAATGATACTGAATTAGTTGTATTCTCTGAGCTGGTTGATTTAATTGTGAAGCTTTCGTCATTCTTCTAGACAGCATCTTCAGTGTATGTTTTAGTAGAAGGCTGCTACTCAGTTGAATTAGCAGTTAACCAACACATTATTATAGACCAAATTTATCAGCTAATAAAAAGTAAATCACATAACAAGAAAGTGTGAATTTCAAGTCAACAAAAATGATCAGTAGAGACGTAAATTAACAACCAGTCACGACAGTGGTTGCCAGGAGACAGATGCCATTACACCATTCATCAAGGATTTAAATAAGTGCATTTCATTCTAAAGACCTGCGCTGATGATGTTGCCTAGAAGGATAACGAAAGCTTCACAGTTGAATCAATCAGGTCAGAAAACACAACTAATTCAAGATTATCTCTTCACAAACTTTTCGACTACAGTTTTGAACATCTTCACAGGCTAAAGACAAGTAAATTGACTTTCGCCTCATGAACTTCTATGACCAAATATTTTTATACCATCACTTCATAAATATCCAGGATCAGAATACCAAAGTTAATTAGTACTTTCCTGTGTTATGCAAAAACTTTGGCATCGGAAAATCTAGATAATTGCTTTATTTATTCGGTATTATCATTTTAAAAAATTGGAAAGGAGTAAGTACATCGAAGTGAGAAGACTTTTTAATGCCTTTTTGAAGTTAGATCATTTTCTAGCAAAAGTATTCTACTTCGACATTTGGATTAGTGGAGCTTTAGCAGTAGATATGATTGAGTTTATTGTGGTTTCCTCCCTTCCTATGGATGTCACACAAACAGTCACTACCCATCTGTTCTTTCGATTACAGGAAACAATTACATAATAGAATGATGATTTCATTGAACCTGACACACAATGATACAGTATTACTTAGTTGTTGGTGGAGTTTCCAGCTCGGTGTTTATTGCTAACAATCATGTAACTTCTGGATTATGTGTATTTATCGTCCTGTCATTTCTATTCGCTTATTTTTATTCGTATTGATATCTATCACATGTCTGATGTTAGTTAAACTTCCTTCTTATTACCCGCATTTCATTTAGATTCCATGTGCAGGGAATCAGTGATCAGCCCTCCACTCCACTTAAATATAATAATACAATATTAGCTACCCTGATTGAACACTAGACAGCAAGTAACTAATGTCATATGCCTATTCCTTTGTTTGCTGCAGACTGAACTCTGTCAGTGAAGTTTCCAATGTGGCCAACATGCTAGGTGGCTCCACATCATAGTGCATTCATAGTCCTGCAGGAAGTTAATCGCGAGCCCGAATAGCCCAGTGTTAACGTCTCTGACTGCAGCACTGGATGACGCCGGTCGGAATTTCAGAGGGGACATGAATTCCTTCAAGGTTGCAGATACGCCTTGCTGACAAGTGCGAGCAAGCACGGACCATAGGTCCAAGGATTCCCGCCGATCACTTTGCAAGCATCCAATAAACACAATAGTAGTGACAAGGATAGTGTGTCTGTGGTGATTGGCATACCCAGCTGTACTTTGTATGGATTACAGGTCAATTCTTATGCTAGTATACAGTCTGATAAGGATAAAAACATGTGGAAATAAAGTAGCTGTCAAATAAATGACGGTATTACAGGAAAATTATTCTTCTGAAAATAATCACAGGATTTTTCATTTCACCTACTCTCTGGAAAGTGTAATCAAAGAAAATGAAGTAAAGGATATTCTTATCATGCACATTGCAAAACGTGAAATGAATAGTTTCATGAAAGCTCTATCACAAGGTGAAACTATTAGAGAGTGTATGTGTCTTAGTGTCGGGTGAGGTGGGGGAAATAACGGGCTCATCTGTGTATTAACACTTAGAATAATAATTCTCTAGAGAAACAAAACTTTGTCATCACATGCATCTATAACCGAGTGACTATCATTAGTGAGATAATTATTTTCAAGAAGTCTATTATAAACCAGTTACCATTTTTATAAAATACCTTTTTTAAAATATTCTATACTGTCCGATTGTGGCGTAAACGCACAAAAATATATATAATAAAGTGATGATGTCTACAAATCATCTAAGTTTGTAGGCTTCTGTAGATGAACTTTTTACCATTGTGATTAGTGGTAATTTTGATTCCGACAGAAGGCAAGTGAAGGCTAACAGTGTTAGGTATCACACTAAAAACGTGTTCTGTTCTGATAAATTCTGTTATCCTTTGCGTTAGGTGGTATACTGAGGCGTTAAAAGTAACATTATAAATCGAGACGTCGAACAGTGAAATTATACTCAGCTGTAGCGTAGAAAACAGTCATAGAACGGAGTATATTTCTGTCGACGGTTATAAACAATAAAGTTAACTGCACGTAATTTCAGGTTTGACGGTAAGCTAAAAGAAACTACCCATTTCTCTGAGTATATCACTCACTCAACAATACTACTGTGTGGATATAACTGGGTTGACTTTCACCTTCACCAACAGCAGTTGCTACCCAGTAAAAAAAAGTCACTGTGACTTAATCGGTCATAGAAGACAAATCTATCATTGCGAATGAAACAGAAAACTTTAAAATATTATTATTATTTCCTTTAATGAATTCCTAGAGGAACATTGGGCTTCAGCCGTGCGTCTCTATTGCGTTCGGTTCCCTGCTAGAGTCTGCACCTGGCTCCAAGTCTGTCCACACGTTTTCATCTCCTCTTCACATGACCTCCTCCAAGTCACCCTTGCACTGACGACCAACTCGCCGCTTCCCTTTCGGGTTCCACTCGAGCAATGGCTTGTCTAGTGATGTCACTTGATGAATTGTTTCCTCAGAGTATGACCAATCCACCTACATTTCTTCCTGCCTATTTGTTTCACAATCGGCTCCTGGTTGGTTCGCTCCCATAGATCTTTTCTGGCTGGCCATCTGTTCTTGAGTATTGAGCGAAGACAACTGTCAATGAAGGTCTGTAGTTTGTTTGAGGTGCTTTTTGTGATGCGCCAAGTCTCTGATCCGTATAGTAGCACTGACTTCACATTGGAGTTTAAAATCCGGATCTTATTTTTGATGCTGAGTGATGTTGACCTCCACACAGACTTGAGAGTAATGAAAGCTTGTCTTGCTTTCCCGATCCTTGCTTTGATATTCTCGTCAGTTCCGCCTGTAATTGAAACGACGCTTCCCAAGCAGGTAGGTAAAGGAGGCTGTTTCTTCCAAGTTCCTCCCATTTAAGCTGATTGCTGTCTGTTGTTGCTGTTGTTGCTGTTGGTGGTGTTGCCCAGTAATCTTCATCACCTCTGTTTTCTCTATGTTCACCTGAAGTCCTATCTTCTCTGGATGCTTTTCTGCCAACTTGTTGATTTCACTTGCATATCTTCCAGCTTGTGGGAAATCAGATATATATCATCGGCGAAGTCCAGGTCCTCCACGTTTTTTGTGTGAGTCCATTTCATGCCTGTTTCCTCATTGCCCGCCGTCTGTTGCATTATCCAATCTATTGAAATCAGGAAAATCATTGTCTAAAAGCTAAAGAAAGAATTCAAAGGAATACCTAAACAGCTTAACCAGTATTTTAGACAATTATTGCTCACATTTATCAAATGCTTAAATCTAATACTAGGTCTAATACTAGGCCGTATTTCCATAAATTAGGTTACTGAATTAATTGCCGAAAAAGACTCTGGCATTGGTTGATTAATGAAACAGGAAGATATTAGGTTCACAATGCAAAGGAAGACAAGTCCTATTACCTAAAAAATGTATACTGATATACGGAACAAAATTATGTTACAAATAGCCTCATGAAAAGTGGGAATAAGGCAAGGGTCAAATTCCACTAAATTTTCGTTTAGAGAAGTGATAAAAAGATTGAAAAGCAGTCATTTATTTGAAGATAAATTCTTTTACAACTAACACTTCATAGATGACTGGATTTTTGAAGTTAGTTCTTATTCCAGGTGTAATTCGAATATACCATCCATCTGTTTGGTTAAAACAGTCGCTTTTTTCCCCAGCCATTAAAGACAAGCAACTAAAACTACTGCTACACTGTGGCATGATCAAGGTATGCGGAGTCAATGCTGTAGAGGATGGTGGAGTTGTTGACGAAATGAATTTGAATTTCCCAATAGAATCAGACAAACAAGTTTTCGTTACTACTTTTCCACCCTATTATCTTACCTCTTTTAATAAGCCCAGTGGCATCAATTAACATTCTAGAAGATCCAGAATTGAATACGATAGATTACCAGTTTGTAAAATAATGTGTAAACGCACATAAGAATGAGACGTGAACTAATTAAAGTATAACATACTAATCATATGACATTAATTCAGAGTGTACTACGTTAGTCAGTCACTAAACCAAGTAATTACATCACAAACTTGAGTGACAGAATTTAGTCATCACTAACACTGGGGACTAGGCACACGACACTGACTACTACCTACCGATCATCCATCTAGTAGGCATAGCAAAGTGATTTGCTACTGATCTGCGGTCATGACCAGAAAGATTTCTTTGTAATTCGTCTGGCATTTTATCAACATCCCGAAACTGAAATCCCAACAGAATTATATTATTTGGTTTAATCACGCGGGTTCCCAGTGGACGAACAATTATAAACAGTTCACTGTTACGTCTGTGATTCAACAGTTGGACACTCACCAACCACGCACGTGGTCCGATGTTCGAACCCCAGCCAACACATACCTAAGCCTCGCTTTCCCGGTGGTAAGGGCGGTAAAAAAAATGAATGTTTGGCGTGAGACTAGCATCCCTCCTACTGAAACTTCAAATCTCAAACTTATGTTTCCTTGAGAATGTGAATAGATAAAATAAATAACAATAAAAATAAGTTCGGTGCTACATTGAAGATGGTGAAATATGTGTAGGCAGACAGACTTTTATATACTAGCGTGCACCAGCGCGTAAGATCTTAGCTAAGTTAGTCCGTCGAAATCAGAATGAGATTTAGGTTTGAAGTGCGTCAGACGTGTTAGCATAAGAAAGTAAACAGTAAACACGTTTTTTCTCTGAAATCAATTAATTATTTTATTATCTGCTTACCTAGTAAAATGATAAGCAGTTTAGTAAAACAGTTAATAACAGTATTAGCCTAAAAATAATTCTGCAGTTTCAAGTGTGCTTTATTCCATCATTTTTCATAACTTCAGCAGGTGTGCTTTATTCGTAATCGTTGAGATAGTTTTAATGTGTAGGCAACTAACTGTCGCTTTTTCGACGAATCGAAACTTTTTCATCTCTATGAAATAATAATAGTAGTAATGAAATAGTTACTCTTGAAGAGAAGAAATTTATTTTAAACGTGAAGATTCAATATGTGAAGAGGCCTGCACAAAGATTTCATCTCTCCTTTGAATCGTCATCAAAATGTAATCACTGATATAAGTATAAAACTTAGGCACTGTGGTAGAGTATAACTCCATTATGGATAAGATTTTATTTTCATAAATCACACAGTGTTACCCAGTAATATGATTATGAGCAATAATTTGTGCTCGAAACGTCATCAGTTAATATTACTGTGTAACACTGTGTGATTTATGAAAATAAAATCTTATCCATAATGGAGAAAATATGATCATGTTATCAATGATCAATATTGACCATTTGTGATCTGAGCGGTTAGGGGAGTTTAACACTGAAGCTTACCTACTGCTAATCGAGAATGAGTGGATTCCTAGATAATTCAGCAAGAGGAGAGCTGAACCCCCTTTCGGCTCTGTATACGCTTAGACTTAAAAAATATTTTATGTCTACTGTTATGCTTTGATGAATTTGTCATTTGCATCGATGAAAGTGAAACATTAGAAAAATTGAATACAAATTTCTCCGTCTTGTCCCGAGAAATATGTTTTGAATTTGTCATTCTGAATTTCCCATTGATTGATTTTATTGCACCGAAATGATTTCCCTCCATTGACATGCCTACTGCTAGTGTACAGGTTTCAGTGATGCCTTACAGTTGACATGATTTCATCTGGCTGATGATGGCTAGTGATGCAGTTTAGGACACATGACTAGCTTTGTCAAAGATTCATCAGCTGGCTGTACCTGCATTCATTTAAATAGCAAAATACCTTTTTTAAAAAGTTTCTTTTCGTTATCCATTGACATCAGTTTATAAACTAATGCTGAGTCTGTTTGTCATAGCCTTTAATTAACAGACAGTTACTTATGTAATAGATGACAGCTGGAGGTCGGTTTAAAGTTCAGGCTGCTATAAGATGTGAACCAGCTGCCTCCAAGTCACTGATTCCGGTGTTTTACCACCTAGGCTACATAGCCGAACTACAAACCAACCCATCCTCCCACCACAATCACCAGAAACAATGCCTAGCTGTCATGTGAATGGATGGTAAGCTGCTGCCCCCATTTATCATTACATTAGCTGTTTAGCCAATGTATTTTTGATCAGTGAACATTGAACAGTGTTTAACTAAATGATAGTACGTTTCTCGACATATAGAATTTGAGTTTGTTGCACCCTACTTCTATTTGCCTTGAATGCGGTTAAACAATAACCTTTACGTGAATAACATTCTGATCAACAATAGTAATATTTCGTTTATGTTTGGAGTTTCTACTGAAAAAAAAAACATGATAAGAAGAAACAATTCTTCATATACTACTATATGTTGCTAAGTGATGAATGTATCCTTACTAAGACTTAAAAGAGAATGAGAAAAGTTCAGAGACTATTATATAACGTGTACATGTGGAAATATGAAGGCTAAACAAAAGACTTGAGTAAAGTGAAACAATGTCAACCTAATTAGAGAAGGCTGTCTCCGTTTATTCATTTGTTGTTGTTGATGTTATTATTATTATTATTATTTTTGTAACAATAGAAGAAATTTGTTAAGAATTCACTTAAGGAAACAAAACTATTCTAATGCAGTAAAGAATAAGGATGAATGAAGTCTTGTAGCTTTTATGCTAGTTGAATAGAACAGATAAGAGATTCTCACAAACAGGATGATCTTTCTGTAACTGAATACTCTTAGTCTTTTGTTAATAAAAACTGAAATAAAAGTACTCAAAATTTCTATGGAGGTTATTTAAGATTCAGTAGGTGGAATTTTGTCATGATCTAGATAGAAATAAGCCTGATCGTCATGTTACTAACTATGAGAAGATGAACAGCAAGGGTTGTTTCCAGTCTAGTCTCATAATGGAGTGGTAACTTGCTAACCAAGTTGATAAATCCTAATGTATTTAGTGTTTGGCGGACACGAAGTCTAGAAGGGGAGAAGATGTAGGTTCACACTACTATCTAGTGTAAGGGATCTTCAACGTGCAAGGGACTTTGAAAGCGACTAGAGATAGAGGACAATTCAATTTCAACATTCAAAAACTGAAGGACAAAACTATAAAAGGTACCTTCACTGAAGCCATCAAAGCAAAGTAGGGAAGATTACTTAGCATCACTGGAGAAATCCTGGACCTGAACCAATTGAAAGAAAGAAAAAACGGACATACTCCGAACAGACCGGTGCGTGACGTCACGCGCCAGTCCCTCGAGTGGAACCGAAATGGAAAACGATGAGTCCGGCCTCCAAAGATAATATGGAGATCGTGTGAGAAAATATTATGACCACTCGTGAAGCCAGCTAAAGAGGACTGCAGAGAACATAGTCAGATGGAGATGTGTTGTTGTTCAACTCGCAAACTAAGCGAATAATAACAGTAATAAGTTTATTCAGTCATTCACACGATGACTATTTTACATTTCCGAAGAGTTTTAAACAGGAGAACTAAAAATAACGATAATAATATTAATAATGATCACTTCCCAATTGATACTGGGTCATGACTGTAATCTATCATCAAAGCTACTGGTGGTTATTCTTCATAATATCATGGGTCTACTGAATTAAGACATTTTTCTTAAATAAGTGCATTAATAAATAACTGTCACAAACTGTACGTCTTATCCGATGTGACTTGTACACTATTTTTATTTATTTTAGTCTAAAATCGCCTCTCGTGAACTTCATACCGAATGAGAGAGAGAGAGAGATAGAGACAGATGGACGGTCGTCTAGGGTTTACATTATATTAACCTGACTGGTGAGTGTCATTAATTCGTATATCTACTTTCTGACTGATTACATCAGTCAGTAGAACGTGTTGAAACGAACTAGTTCACTTCTATCGGTTAAAAGTTTAGAATAAACACCAAACTTAATCGAAATAACTCTTCCTGTTCTAGTATTACACTCTGTCAGTGTTTAAAGTGCTGGAGAAGATTTATTAGCCAAGTAGATATGCTCTGTTAGTTGGGTATTTCATCAACTGCAAAGCCTTTACTGTTTTTCCAGACAGCATCTTCTGCACTTATTACGAAATAAAGTGAGTCAGCTGTTTGTCTTTCTCTTCAAAAAACAATTATGAAGAGGTTAAAACAACAAGTGCATATATATATATATATACATATATTGTATCCTCTTGTTTTTACTGTGCATAATAATAGATACATAGGTAGATAGATTGAATGAAGTTTTTATGAAGTTAGAAGATGCACAAATGCACATGTGATTGTCTTATTAGTAATTTCACCTCCATTTAATAAACTTCTATACATTCGCCTTAATTCATTACGTTACAAATATGTAGGCAGAGCTAGATAGCATACATACGTATATATATATATATATATATATATACATATATGTATATATATATACCTCCCACATTGGTGGCATTCTTTTCTGTTTACATATATAGTAAGTCGCTTTTGGCATATATACCATAATGAGATGGAGAGACGACAATCATAAACATTATCTAAACTACAAAGTAGAAATTTTCGAATATCATACAGGAGAAATTAACAGCAAATATTCCAATGCTTAAAGACTGTAAAAGTAGTTAAAATACATAAAAGATTGACTGTCTATCTAGATGGAAGATTTTCTTAAATATAAATCAAATTCTAAGACCGAGAAGAGTATAAAGCTTTGATGTTAAATGGTTGGAAGCAATAGACAGGAAGGCCAACCCCAGGGGTTTCAAGCTCCCATTAACCTGATATATCTGCAACCTTAAAGGAACTATTGCAGCCTCAAAGACGTGAACCGACCAAGGTCAGTGCTGCAGTCATAAACTCTGTGACTGAGCTATTCAGATTGCAGTTGACCGCCTGTATGACTGTTGTGGATACACTGTCTGCCTATGGGTTTACTATTTAATGCCAAATGTGTTTTTGCCTTTTTCAGTTGGTCTGACACTGTCATCTAGTGAATAGTAAGTAGATGCTGCAAAGTCCTCTATATTTTAGTTATAACTGTACGTAGTCAAATGAAATTGTACAGAAAGGTTTACAGACTCTTCCCTCTTCGATTGGACACTAGCGAATAACTAGTATAATGTGTCTAGTCCTCTCTTTGCTATAGACTAAACTGTGTTGTGGCCACAATACAAACTACACTGATAGAATTTAGTATGCACCTAAGAAAGGATCAGATAAATTACACTAGTGACTAGCTAAAGTCCAATCAAAATATCTAATACAGTCCTACAGGAGGCTATAGCCAGCCCGAATAGCTCAGTGGCAAAATTTCTGACTGCAACATTGGATGACGCGGGTTCGAATCTCATAAGGGACGAGTACCAACTAGTACGAAACCTAGGTCAGGCTAGACTTTCTGCCGATTGCCTCCAACCATCTAATATCATCAGGTTCTTCCCTCATTTCTTAGTTGTCTTTTGGGACGTATGTGAAAGTTGACAAGTGCTGTTCAAAGTGAACTGAGGTACACATCAATCTGCTGACTATCGTATCGTATGTATGATGACACAGTCATATTCCAGCTAAAAATTTATCATGTATAACATCCCCTAATTTTTTCCTACTCCCATATTTCAACGAAAGTCTTCTCTGAAAAGAAAACAGATTGGTAGTGGTTCGTTTCCGGTCTAACTAAGTAACATCAACAGACAACTTTCAAATAGTGCCTAGTAACTTTCCTCTCTGACTGCATATAAAATTAAATAAGTTTTTAACCAATACTGAATTTTTATTTTATGGTTGCTTTGCTGACCACCACATAAAGACCAATCAACTGCACCTTTCTCTAATTAGGTCAATTGTTTTATTTTCACACTAATTAACTAATAAATCATCCTGTTTTTAGCTGAAAAGGTGGTTGGAGCATATTTCAATCACTGTAAGCGGTTAACAGAAGGCCGCACACTACCACGGATGATATTCTTTACTGCGGTGGACTGGATTAGA